GGGACTCCAGGATCATGACCTGAGCCGAAGGCAGTCGCTTAACCAACTGAGCCACCCAGGCGCTCTAAAGTTTCTATTTTTAAAGTAAAAGGACTGTCATTTATATAAAAATGTGGAAATTTAACAAATTTTGAGTATGCTAATTTAGAATTTAATTTTATTTGGATGATTTACTTTTATCATTTTCTTTGGATCATTTACTTTCCTCTATTTCATCATTTTATTAATGTCAAAATGTACCACAGATTAATGCATAGAGAACTGCTCTGCCCTTACGGAGAGAAACAATGTACACAGATTTCTGTGATGTTCATTTTATTCCACTAATTTTATTAAGTGTCCGCTGTGTACCAGGCAGAGTTGTAGGTGCTAGAAATATATTAACTTGTACCATATGAGATTAATATTATGAAGATATTTGTAGTTCTTTTGTTTTGATGTATGAAATAGACTTATTCTGACTGCCATGAACAAAACAGATAAAATACCTGTTCTTTTATGGAGTTTAAATATAACATCTAATTAAATTAACATCTAACTAATTAAATAACATCTAATAGCTTGAAACAGAAAATTAAATAAATGAATACATAAACAAGTGGTGATTATTGGCATGCAGAGAGTTGAAGTAGAGTAATGCATCGTGACTGAGTGGGTATTTCAGATGGTGAATTTGGGAAAGTGCTCTCTGAGGGTGGGGCAGGGGGGGACATTTAAGATGAACTCTTAATGAAAGAAAGAGCAGCCTTGGACCCATCAGGACTTACAGCATTCTAACTGAGCTTGTGCAGAAGCCCCAGAACAAGAATAAACTTGATGCATTTGAGAAACTGAAAGGCTGGTGTGGCTGGAGGATAGAGGCAGAAGTGGAGAATGATACGAGATGAAGTCAGAGATGGGGCCAGATGTTGTGAGCCAGGGGAAGGAATCTGCACTTTAAATACAGTGGGGTTTCAGCAGGAAGTAACATGAACTGATAAATATGTACACATACGTTAGAATAGTACAAGATGTAAGGTAATTAGAAGTTTAATAGAGGGGGTGCCTGTGCCTGGGTGGCTCAGTCTGTTAAGCATCTGCCTTCAGCTCAGGTCATGATCCCGGGGTCCTACAATGGAGTCCTGTGTCGGGCTCCCTGCTCAGCGGGGAGCCTGCTTCTCCCTCTCCCTCTGCCCCTTTCCCCGCTTGTGCTTTCCCTCTCTCTCTCTCGTTCTCTCTCTCTCAAATAAATAAATATTTTTAAAACATTTAAAAGAGGTAGCAACAAGTGGTCAGCAAATTTAATCACAGAACCGTGGATTTTGAACTGTGTGTTCAGAGTCTTCTGTAAATGTCTCAAGATGTGGGTAGGAGCAGAGGACTGTTTGTACCCACTTGAACACTTTAGCAGTAGTGCTAGTCTCTCTTCTCATCTGGGGTTCTTCAGGAGGTTCTGCTCCCTAGAAAATCATGTGTGTGAGGTAGGATCAGAAGGGAACTTGTCTCATGGCTTCTTTTCTATTAGGTCCCTGCTTCCCTGGGAAAAAATGTTGGTCCCGACCTGATTCTGGCTTCTTTTAGGGAGCTGGTATGAACAGAAACAGGTGCTCAGCTTTCACCAGGCTCTGCCTGCTCTCCTGTCCCTGCCCACCATTGTCCTTTTCTGCCATGTCCTAACTCAGATTCAGCTGGTGCTCCCTGCCTTTCCTCCCTAACAGCATGTGCTCCTTTCACTTTAATGCTTTCCTCTAAGCCTCTCAGATACCTATTACTTATTTCCTTGTACATTTGATATTACATTTGACCCAGGAACAAACAGGGGTTAGGCGTGCCGGCCCCCTGCATAGTCAAAAATTCACATACAACTTTTGACTCCCCCAAAAGTGAACTGTCGATAACTTACTGTTGACCACATGCTTTACCCATAAGATCAACAGTTAATATGTATTTTGTATATGTATAATATACTGTATTCTTACAATAAAGTAAGCTAGAAAAAGAAAATGTTAAGAAAATCATAAGAGAAAGTACATTTGTATTACTGTACTGTATTTATTCAAGGAAATTGTGTATGAGTAGACCTGCACAGTTCAAACCTGTGTTGTTCAAGGGTCAACTGTATTTATTATCATTACAGTGGTTTTATATTTAAGCTCTCTTTTTTGTTACATCCCTAAGTACTTACCACCTGTGGTTTCTATTTTTGGTAGTAAGGTTTCTGACAACAAATTGTGTCCTTAATCCACCTTATTTTACTAAAGAGGAGAGGTAGTACTCCATGCGGTTTTTTGAAAAACCTAAAAAAAAGAAAAAAAAAATCAAATCCTGACTTAGAAAATTTGTCTCAATTTCTTGTCTTCGTATCCTACATTATTTATAGGACTTTGCTGTTTGCCATGATCTTTATCTTTTCAGATCACTTTGCATACCTAGGGAAGATCTTTATCACATTGTAGCAAGAAAGGTGATAGAATTATTGAATTGTTTTTGGACATATTCATAAACATTCATAAAAGCTCAAAGACACACATTTTTATTCCTTGTATAAATATCTTCCCAGTGAGAGGAGAGGGTGGGAAAGAAAGTTTTGTGATCTCTTCCTAAGCCTGAAACTGTGATTATTGAAAATTTAAACACCTGAAACTTGATATATATCCTTCAGTTTCTTTAATTTCCTAGTATCTTGAAAAAGGATATCCACAGGCTTGACTTAAAATAGATTTTATGTTAATCTTTTTAATCAGAGCTAATGGCAGAATGTATTGAGGATTTGAATTGCTTATTTGGTGTGATGCTTGCTGTACGAAAGCAATAAAATTTTCAGAAAATTAAATCAGTCAAGTTCTTTTAGTAGTATGGTACCTTGCTCATAGTAAATAAAAAAGTAGGAAAAATTTCATCAATCTCCAGGCTCTTTGCCTATGCAGAATCAGTCAAGTGAATGACAAATTTTTGTGTTTCTATCCAAATGTATTTGTCAGAAAGCTAATGTGTTATTGTTTGGAACAGGCAGAGACTAGGTCACGTGAGAAACTAATTGTTTCAAGGAACAGAAACCCATGCATACCATTTGCCAGGTTTATTTTGAGGAAGTGAGTGGGAATCTTAGCAATACATATTTTTTTAAAAATAGCAGTTCAGTCATTGTATTTCCAAGTTGCTTATTTGAATGTTACTTTAATTAGGGAATGGTATGGAAGGCTAGGGAGAAGGATATGACCCTTTGTATTTAATCCCAGGCCAGGCTGAAATCTTGTCCATTTAGTCAGGATTATTTTCTACTTCCTTATAAACACTAATATATTGAACACTTAATGCTTGAATTTTACCTCAAATTAGTATTTTATTCCATGGCACTATGAGGAATACAAAGTCACATAAAATGTGTCTCTGCTCTCCAAATTTCTACTAGGAGAAATAGAGATGTATTTTAGTCAGCCCACAGTAATAAATTGTACACTGTGGCCCAGTATACTTAAGTGTGTATATGTGTGTTTCTATTATCTGACATAAGGTTTTCATTAAACTGTATTTACATTTATTTTATGTAATGTACTCAATGCTCTCTCTTCTCTTTCTGTATCCACTCTGTTCTTTTTCTTTTTTTTTTTTTTTAAAGATTTTATTTATTTATTTGACAGAGACACAGCGAGAGAGGGAACTTCCACAAGCAGGGGGAGTGGGAGAGGGAGAAGTAGGCTTCCCGCCGAGCAGGGAGCCCGATGTGGGACTCGATCCCAGGACCCTGGGATCATGACCTGAGCTGAAGGCAGATGCTTAACGATTGAGCCACCCAGGCTCCCTCTTTTTCATTTCTTAAGAATGCTGGCATTTACTTCATGACCCAGTAATGAGACATTTTCTTCAGTGTTTTTTTTTTAAAAAAAAAAAAAACAACCTAGAGTATGTTAAGTATTATTTTAAACCATTTTTAAAAAAATATTTATTTAGAGTGGGGGAGGGGCAGAAGGATAGGGAGAGGGAGAGAGAATCCCAAGCAGACTCTGCACTGAGCGCAGAGCCCAATGTAGGGGTTCCATCTCATGACCCCGAGATCATGACCTGACCTGAAACCAAGAGTCGGACGGTCAGCCGACTGTGCCACCCAGGCGCCCCCATTTTAAACCATTTATTTATTTTATTTTTTAATTTTTTTAAAGATTTT